CATCATTGCCTATGGATGTCAAGAATGTGTTGACTTTAACTGTAACAAGTCACAGTGGGGAGAAGACTCGTGGGTAGAAAGAGCACACTGAGATACAGGTGGCAGTGTCCAGGGCAGGTGGGGTGTCCAGGGCAAGGAGTGGCTGATTTTGTGACTGACAGAGGAGAGTCTTCTGTCTTCCTCTCTGAGAAAAAGTTTGGGAGCACCAATTAACTGTGATGTGCCAAGAGGCAGGATCTGTGGCCTCTTGCAGATCTTGAACTTGGCATAAAATCATGGTGGTGCCTCGGGCAAAGCAGTGTTTTAAGCTCTGACATGGGAGTCCATAGCTGGAGTTTGTCTCCTCAACTAGAACATGTCTCCTGCTTCTGCTCTTCAGCTACTGCAAAAAAAAGCTGTGTTCAGTTACGCTCAGCCCCATCTACTTCCAGGGAGAGTAGGTAAAGTATTGATGACTTTTGGTATAGTCTCACCCAAGGAAAGAGTTTCTCTCATCTAGCTCTCTCCTTTCCTTTGTTTTTTCTTTCCATGGCTGTGTTGCTCAGTTCTCTGGTAATCTTTGTTCAGGGACATTTCTTCAGACAAGCTGATCCTAATGGTCTCTTCGGGCCTTCACCGCCAGCAGGTTGGCTGTAGCAGGAAGCAGACACATGTTTTCTCAGTACACCCTCTCAGAGTTGAGTACCTAAATAATCTCTATCACTCTGAGATACTCTGGATAACAGTCCTGTCATAGACTTTACAATATAGGGATGTGCTCTAGCATCATTTAACCAATATCTGGTTGAACTTCAGTCACTACTGTGAACATAAGGGCAATTTGTATGTCTCCAGATTAATTTAGTTCTGTTCAAAAAAATGATTCACTTTTCTCAGTCTCAGTTCTCTTGGTCCTTGTTTAGGGTGGCACAATAGAGGCACACAGAGAAATTCAGCCCTTTCTCCAAGTTACCCACAGTATGTGATCGATCAAATGGCTGAAAGGGGTCAAGGGCTTGAACCATTTAGACAACAAGGGCTTGCTGGCCTTGTTGAACGTGGCTGCTCCAATAGTGTCCAACACCTGAGAGCACCAGAGCAGCTCTGGGGTGGGTATGGGATTGGCATTCATTTTGGTAGGCTTGGACTTGAGCTCCATTTGTACCAGAGATGAGTCATTCCTAAGCCCTAGGGCAAATGATTCCTGCCCTAAAACAAGTGATGTAATTGCCCTTTTCACAGAACTGCTGATGACAAAGACTGTGGTTTAGCTCTCACATACTCAGATCTAAAGTGTAAGTCTCCCAGACTAATAGGATGGGCCTTTGTGGACTAGGCAGGAGGGGAACCACATGTCCTACAAGCAGGGTCCCCAGAAGGCAGTCAGACAGTGTGGGAGAGGGCAGAAAGCTTGGACAAATCCAGCTACAGGTGTTGTAACTAGAGAATTAGCAGCTGCTGGCATCCAGCTAAGCCCCTGCAAGGGGCAGAGACTGAGATCACAGCAACACCAGCTCTAATGAAGCACTAGCAGCTTCAGGGATTGCTGCCCACCTGAACTGGGGGGGATTTCTTTCCCCAGAAAGCCAGCAGTGTAGGAGCTCTGCTGTTTGAGGGATGTCTTATTTTATACTCTGACTGTATGTGCTTGAACACAGTTATATGGAGACTCAAACTGCTACATGAGCTGCTTGCTGCTTTTGGAAAGTGCAAATAATAATATTGCAGCGTTGTTGCACCACTGAAAGTGGCCCAAGTCCAAAGCAGGATTTGGTTGTGTGCTTTGGGTGGTAGGGTTATGTTCTTGTACCAGATGGAGACTTTAAATTTTCATCAGCAGGTTTATAAACACAAAGAATATCCTTTTATCAGCCCTCCGGTCTTTTACTAATAAGCTGCAAATGCTGAACTTCAATTAGCGTGGAGTGGAGGCGCAGATGAAATAATGTACATTCTTACTGATGATTATCCATCATATGAGAATGAAATCAAGACATGAGTAATGACCTGTTTCAGTTTTGGGGGCTTTTTTTGTTGTTGTTGTTGGGTTTTTTTCTCCCCCTCTTTAACACATGCTTGGTAGTATAAATGAGTGAAAATTGCAAAAAATAATTTGGGCCAGATTCTCTGGTGATGAAACTCCATTTCAGGCGAATGCAGTGTGAGTTTTCAGCCCTGCTTATCTTTGCATTGACTTCTGTAGGTGGTGGGTCAAGCCAACACAAAGGTGTGTGACAGCTGTGTTAAGTTTGCCATGGAAGGATAAAGAGTTTACAAAACTACGCTTTTCCCGCTGCTGACAGCTGGCCAGAGAGGTCTAAGCTTTGAAGCAACTCTGCTGTGTGTTATCAGGGAATCCCAGCTTTCTTGAGGGGTGCATGGAGAGGGGAAAGGGATTGATAAGTTTAATGCTGCCTTTGCCTTTAGCAGCACATTTGCTGGCCTATGTGGTGTGCTTGTGTTCTGTACATGTGCCCCAGCTGAGAAGCTCTTTCTGGACACTGCAGGCATCCAGCTACTGGGCTTGTGCCCTGTGGTTTATAAGTCATTCAAGAGATTTGTGCATTACAACAGCAATATCAGCTCTTTAGAGGGTGTTGAGGAAGGGCCTCTACCTTGACTGATATCTTTTAGGGAGGAAAAGATTGAGTGTATTTGCAAAGATTAGTCTTGGCACATAGTTTGAGAAGGTATTGGGAAATTGTCAGGAAAGCTGAGGAAAGGTGCAACCTCGTGGGATACAGATTGGTTCTGGGAATTCTGCATCTAACTTTTCATGTCTTGCCTTAAGAAGTCTTTGCTGGAAAAGTAATCCACTAAGAGGATAGGGCCTACTGTTGAAAAATAGAGATACATAAATTTGAATCAGTAACTGAAAGAAAACTGTTCTCCCAATAATTTAATTGAGTACTTTCTGACTAATCAAACCCCAAAATATACCCCTGAAATACTTACAAGTGACTTCTTCGGTGGATTGTGCTTCAACAGAGGATGGCTGCTTTATAGGTCATACCGGCTTAGAAGAGAAGAGAAGAGAAGAGAATAGAATCATTTAAGTTGGAAAAGACCTTTAAGATCATCAGTCCAACCATTAACCTAACACTGCCAAGTCCACCACTAAACCATGTCCCTAAGGGCCACATCGCATGTCTTTTAAATACCTCCAGGGATGGTGACTCAACCACTTCCCTGGGCAGCCTGTTCCAGTGCTTGATAACCCTTTCAGTGAAGGGTTTTCAGTAATATCCTTTCAGTGAGGAAATTTTTCCTAATATCCAATCTCAGATTGCGGGAGAAAGGCAGAGCAGCATTGCAAAGGTCTCCCCTGACACCATGAAACCAACAAGATTTTGCTCTTCCTGGATCATGTAGGGTTGAGATTTGTAGCTGGAGGCAGCTGTTGCTCTTTTACAAAATATGTCTGTGAGCTGTGCGTAAGAAGTAGCAAGATGACAGTACGGCACAGGGGTTTGCAATTGCCACAGGAGTCTGAGCGCAAGTGCCACTTGATTGAATTAACAGAGATGCATGAGACTTCAGTTCTAACTTAACATAGGCACCAAGGCTGAGAGATTATTGAGGCAAAATGGACCTGTTCTCTTTGATTAGCTCTGATTTGCTACTCTGATGGCATATATCGATGTTAAAAGAAGGCCACTAAGCTTTTCTTTGTACTGCATTGGAAATGACACATTGCAAGAGGAAGAAAAGTTCTGTTTAAAATTACAGAATCGGAGATGAAGTGAAATTGAAAAGAAAGATCAAAGATAGAAAGTAGGGGGAGGAAGAAAGAAGCAATGTACAGTATGGCTGCACAGACATCTTAATTTCAGTTTAATGAATCTCTGACCACTCAGGAAGGGGAGGGTAACTCTGTGTACTGGGAGGGAAAGAACAGCCTTCTGCCACCGCACTGAGATTTCCTTTGAACATGGTCTCTTATCAAAATGAAGGACTGCACTCTGCTTCATATTTCACAGAATTAGAAAAGACCAAGCTATTTTCTGACTCCCTGCGTCCTGCTTATGTAACTTGCAGATGACGGCTGTGCAACCTCTGGCTGAGCCCTGGAAAATTTTCTTGTCGGTGACTCGGGTGCTTGGCTGGCATGGCGGGCTTGGAGATGAGATTGCAGTTAGAGGCACTCCCTGGGTACCAGAGCCCAATTCAAGGTCCCTTTATGGAGGCTTTTCATACTAGAAGCTGTGTGTGGCTTGCTAATCATCATGGTCACGTCATTGCCAAGAGTCCCTGTGCTGATGCTGTGTTAATTATGTGCAAGTACAAAGCATCCCCCTTGATTGCATTGGAGCAGAAGTGAACCATAGCCCTGGCTGTTATCCAGAGATGTGGGTCAGCAAGGAAGGAGGAGAAGAGCTAGACAAGAATGAGTCCTTGGCCTTTACATAAATGTTATCTATAAAAATTCCTGCAGGATGTGGGAAGAGTGTTTAGTGCAGCTGGGCTGCAAAAATGGGACTTTCGCAATCCGCATTCCCAAACTCTATGCAGTCACCATAACAGTGTTGGTTTCAAGGCTCTAGATCTGGCTGAAAGCTGAGGGACAGGACTGCACATTGTGCTGTAGGAGTAAAATTGAGAACTATGAAAAGGGAAGAATTAGACCCAGGGATGAAGGGAGAAAAAAGGAAACAGGCAGAACTGCTTCAGCTGCAAACTAGACTTTCCTGTGGGTCAGCTGTTGTCTCCCAACAGCAGAAGATCCCAATTTCCACCTCTTTGGAAGTATGACTGAGAGGAACTAGGAGGTGCATACTACCAAGTAGGTTCAATCACTGCAGTAGGGTGAGACTGGGACAACTATGAGATCCCCAAATACAGCCCATGTTGTATGAATCTATGCAGCCAGCCCCTCTGGCAGTCCAGCCAAGTTTAAAGCAGTACTTAGCTCACTCCTGCACAGAGCCTGTTTGCCAGACTGCAGTGAGGGGGGACAAAAAAAGATTTTGCCACAGGGCTGACCTGGTGACTAATGAGTTTCATTGATCTTGTGCTTGCAGGAGAGAACGATTTACCCTCTGCAGTTCCTGCAAGCTTTTCTGCTGGAGGCTCTGAGAAAACAAATGTGAGATGTTATCCAAAAGCGGGGCTGTGTGAGCCCACTGAACCTAATGATGCTGCTCTCTCATGGATGTATGAACATGATAGTGCGGAAGATACCAGTGTCAGGAAATGTCTTGATGGCTTCTACAAAATGCATTGCAAAAAACGGCCAGACAGAATGGATCCCACCTATGAGGCTGCATCACAGTGTCTGTCGCAGAAGATTTCAGAGCTAGCAAACCGGGATGGAACAAAATATGCGTCACGTTGCTTGCAAATGGCCCAGGTGGTCTTGAACAGAGATGGGTGTAAGATCTTTCCAAACCACCCCACTACTGCTTGTTTTTCAAAGCCAGCTGAGGGAGAAGTTGTCTTAGAAGACAGAAAGAGAACACCCGGACTCTCAGATGATGTCCTGCAATTCCTCTTGAAAGAAACATGGACAGAGCATAGCCCTGACATGCCACATGAGAAGTGAGCAAGATGCTGGTTTGTTTCTGTCATTGGAGCTTGGCTTTCACTCTGAAAAGAGGTGACTTTCTTGGAAAGACACTGTTCCTCTTAGCACCACCTTCAACACCACATATTCCATGGACGGGTTCATCTGGGTCAGACCTTGCCACCTTGGCCTCTGCAGGGCAGCACCACATAAGGAGCATCTGTGGTCCCTGTGTAACTGCTTGGGGTGTGTTGACTAATCGGGATGGGTGATGTGTGATACAATGTCTGTTGCTGGGACATCAAATGTGATGATTTCTACATACCAGGCTTTTAAATTGACCTACATCCCTACCCCAGCTGAACAGTGGCCCAGCCCAAATTCGGCCCCTGTGTGGGCATGGATGTCCAAGTGCTGTTGACTATAACAGACTGATTGAATGAGCTTGGCACGGTATGCCCCAGACCTAGGGAGGAAACTTAAGATTTTGATCTGTACCTGACTGATACTGTAATGCCTATGCCTCCACGGGGGTGCCTGATAGCTGTGTGTGTTTATCTACAGGCATATGATCCCACAGGTCATGACTGCAATGCGGGTGAGCTTTTTCGACAGTAAAAGTGTGTGTGTGCATGAGAGAGAGAGGAAATACAGCTTCTGAGCAGGTTTTTTTTTTTTTAACAGGAGGGATAAAAAAAGAGAAATAAAAGCTATATCACCTTAGTGATGTTTCTAACACTTCAAATGCACCAGCTGAGCAGACTGAGGATTTTTTCCTATCTATATGAGCTGGTTTAAGAGCAACCTGAAATAGATTCATGAGCAAAGGCCCTGCAGAGGTGTCCATAGGGAAGCTGCGGAGTTGGTGCCAGCTGCCCTGGTAGCTGCCTGCTGTAAGATGCAGAGTATCTAGGAAAAGCAGAGCTCACATCTCAGCATGCCCAAGACTGTGGGTCACTTGGTTGATTCAGTAGAGGCAATGCTGCTTTCTCCAGCTCTCTCCCTACCCATTAGCCCCTGCTGATTTCTGCTACCATGGGGTCTGAGCCCAGAGCTTTCACAGAGAGGAAGCCAATGCTCATTGCTTGAGTACACTCTATTATCTTTGTTGGCACTGCACCAGACCTTGTGATTACCTTCCTGGTGTGTTGATGGATGAAGGAAAATGTTCTGTGAGATGTTTGAACCATGGAGGTGGTTGCTCTCCAGTAGGGATCATCTGGCGTTGGTTGGTTACAGCAAAGGTTTGCTTCTTCTAACAAGCTCTGCTGCTGTTTATACCCAGAACTTTCTTGCTCTGGGTTTAGTTGGCAAGATCACCACTGGCTGCAGTGGGAACTGGCCCCATGCACTGGTTGCCCAGCTTGAGTTGTGGTGACTATCGCTTGCCCTATGACATTAAGAGGTGACCTGAAGGACTAATTCCGAGCAGTTGGTTTTGGTCACTGCCACCTGGGGAATTTAAAGTGCTCTGGGTCTGATGCATCACTAGGAATTTGGCAGGCCTAATTCTCCTTTGCTTTGTGCTTGTGGAAACTGGGAGTGAATCCCAAGGAAAACAGCTGCATGAGGGGTGCAGACCTGGGCTCCCTCTGTCAAAGTCTTGGTGGGAAGGGTGCTGCTGTCGCGCAAGGCTGCAATTCAGGCCCCTCTACTCAGCATGTGGGAGCCCTTTGAAGTGGTCAACCAGGAGCAAGAAGAGCTTCCGATCACTCTCTGGACAGGTTGTGTCAGCCATTAAAGTTATGCTTTACTGCCTGCAGTTATTCTTATAAATGTTCTGTTCTTGAATGATGTATCAGGCTCTAAAAGAGACACCTGGGGGGAGAAGATAGTTATGTGGTAGTTCTTATGAGGGTTGCCAGGCCCACTGCTTTGATGTAGTTTTTGCTTTGTTTCACAGCTTGCTTGGGGGGCTTGCAAGTCAAAGAAACCTTCTGGAAAAATTCTGAGCTTTGTCTTCTCCAAACTTTTATTGTTAGATTTTCATTAAAATTTAGAATAAACCTAATTATTTTATGGCAGATTTTCATATTTTAGGTGCTTACAGAAGCAGAGGAGAGCCCAGCTGGATAAATTAGGCTCCAAAATCCCATTGATTTTTAATGATAACAAAACAAGCTAAATGTTTAGGGGTGTCTGACAGTCTTGTCAGATATCTGGTGTTAGGAGCCGAAACATGATAGAGTTTAGAATACCTGATCACGGCTACTGTGAAACAAATTCTGGAGAAACACTTAATTTTAGGAGGTGTTTCACTGGGATCTTATAGTTCAGTCACTTTTATTAAGTTAAACAAGACTGCAGCACAGAGAATAACACTCATCACTCCTTTTCCCACTCACTGCTAATTAATTTTTTACAAACCTGTGCTGGAACCTGCTGTATGTATTTCCTAGTCTGCTGAAAGCCAAGCCATTTGTATTACTCATTCCCTTGACAAACATCTCTCCTCGATTTCTTCAAGACATGGGGAGATGAATGCATCCCTCTCCTTTGCCCAGTGTTCCAAGCAAGGCTCACCAATTGCTTTGAATGGGCTGCACTTGAAAGAAGCACAGTCCTATTTGGCATTTTATGATGCTACGTAGAAGAAATTGTAACAATGACTATTACCTCTGGTGAGCAACAGCAAGGGGCCTAACTTATGTCTGTTTGAATTTCTTAAGCTGATTTGCAGTTATAACTAAGATGTTTTGCTTTGAATTAACAAAGTTGGATTTTTTTTTCCTCCTACTTTTGTGGGTTCTTAGCTTTTTTTGTGTGTTGCTTTTGTGACTTTTCTCAGCCTAATAGAGGGGAATCTACCCGTGTTCTGGATCCACTAAACTGCTCTTTCACAGACTACTTCACTCCCTTCTTGCAATGGAGTCTTCAGAAAGGTGGAAGCAGCTTTCAAGGAGCAATCAGCTTAAAATGCGTAGGGCTGCCAGGATCCTGTGTCAAACCAGTCCTCAGCATTGCAGAGTGGGACGAGTGTGTTACAATGCCAACGCGCCTCCCACCACTGCAAACACAACCACGGGTGCCTTGTCTTCTGCTGCCAGTTGTAGAGGCACAAACTTGGCCAGAGCTGCTGCCCCCCTCAAACAACGGTGTCCAGTCACCAATGGGAGAGAGGAGCAGGACAGACCCCAGGAAGAGTGAGAGCACAGGGAGAAAGAGGAGGGATTTGGCAGGGGGAAAACTGCCCCATGAGTGCAGGTGGGTGAGTAGGTGCCTTGGATTGAGCTTTTGAGTGGCTGTTCTCCTGAATGTTGCCTCCCCACCCCAACCACTCACCTGCAGACAGGGTAAGGAGGCAGCCCTTCCCTGGGGCAGCAAGACTGTCCCAACAGGGCAGAGTGCTCCCAGGCTCCTTCCTCTGCCAGTTTAAATGCAGCTTGACAGGACAGCGCTTCTGTCCTGTTTCCCTCCCCACCATCACCCCTCCACCAACCTCCAGTTCCTTTCTGTCTTTCATGATGGTGCTAATGAGATCCCTGGAGGAGCTTTCCCTTTAAAATGAAGCAGATCTCTCTGTGCCCAAAGAGCCTGATGTCAGTCAGCAACAGAGCAATGAACCCCCACACAACCACTTAAGGTCTCTCTCTTGGAGGCCTCCTATCTACTGGCTCGGTGGCTTCTTTGCTGCTTTACTCCCTCTGCCAGGCAGACGTGTGCCTTTGTGCATGTTTTCCACCCACAGGTTTGTCCACTGAAGGGGTGGTTTGCTGTTGTGATGTTGCTCACTGACTGGGGAAGCCATTCATTCTCCAGTGTGGACATGTTCAAGGAAGCACGGAGAGCAAGAGGAAGGCATGTACAGAAGGTGACAGCATATGGGTGAAGAAGAAAGAAGAAAGGACGGTTGAGATCTCAAAGGTCAACATCAAGGTTCCCAGCTAATGCAGTTACTCCAGTACAGCCACACCGCTTGCACCAGTTTTAAGATTTGATCTTCAGCATTTCAGTTTGGAGATAGCTCTTACTCTGCCAGCTCAGTTGCTGAGACCTCTCATCTGTTCTGGCCAGATGCCAGCATGGGTGTTTGTGTTTCGTGCACATTAGATTCCCTGCTGCAGTTTCACATGGGGCTGCTATTCCTGCTTTGCTGCCCCTGGCAGTTTGGCACAGCTGCTGTGCTCTGTGGGTGTTTCCAGCAAAGGCAATGGAAATTTGGCTGCTGACTTTAACCAGAGCAGGAAGAGGCCCTGCTTGCCCAGCTGGCTGCAAATTATGGCCAAGATCTTTGGATTTGGTGCAATCTCTCTTTGCAAATAGGTTTATACTGGGACTGTCTGGGTTTAGGTTGCTGTCCTTGAGTGATCGTGAAACTGATACATCTGGCTTCTTGTTGGTTCTGCTTGATGTGTTGCTTGCTTGCTTTTATGGCAGGGGTGTTGTACGTGTGCTGGAGGGCACACAAAATATTGGAGCAGACCCTCAGCTGCTCCCCTAGCTACTCAAGTTAATGGTGCTAGGGGAAAAAAAGGAGTTGAGATGAGGATCCAGCATAATTTCTGTAGTGGTAAATATATCCGCAGGTGCTGGTCTGTCAGAATCCAGAGAAAAGCATCCTGCAGGCAAAAATTATGGAGGAGAGTAATACCAACTGTTTCAGCAATAGATAGAGCTGGAAAAAACAAACGTGCTATTGAGTGTGCTATCAATAATTACAGTAACAGTACTAGCCTCTCCCTGCCAGCTCGCATTGCTTAACCACCACAGATCTGTCACAGCTACAAGGTCATTAATACTGACAGATGTAGGGAGCTATTGCTGAAGATGTACAGGGAGGAAGGAAGGTCTTCAGTGTGAATCAGATGTTGTTGCTTATAATTTTTTGCCAGCATTTATGCTGTTCCACACAGTTAAATATGAGTTGCTGTGCAAGACCTTTTAACTGCCATTTTAAGGGAAATAACCTCCGAGAAAGAGAGAGCTGGAGAAGTCAGAGGACTGCACCTGAATCCCTTCAGTTGCTGTATTATGTTTGGTGATGAATTGGTCTGTGCTTTGGGTTAGCTCTAAAACCACCTGGTCTCCTAGTCAGATTTAAAAAAAAAAAAAAAAAGCCAAACCCATACAGTTTCCACAAAGAAAGCTCAGAGCAAAATATGAGGTTCTTGTTCTTTAGGAGAGTCCTGCTCCTACTGATGTTTGAGAGATACCTGCTGGGCTTTGATGGAAGAGAAAAGAAGTCCTAATGGACTCTGTCTGACCCTAGATCAGCCCCAGAGCCAGATGTGGCCTTCCTCACTCATAACAAATGTGAGGTATCTGCCTGGACCCCTCTTTGGGGCTGTGAGGAGAAAGGGTGCACACAGGGTGCTCCTCCTGGGGCCTGGAAAAACCTGAGCTGCCATCTTTTTATCTGCTTTTTGAATGAGATTTAGAAAACATTCAAGGGAATAGCTGTTCATTTGTTGTTAAGGGTTTTAAATGATGGCAAAATGAGGCAATCTTAGTTTGGAAGGTGCGTGTCCATGCAGGAAGTTAATCTGGGGTCCCGCTGTGGGGGGATTGTGCTGCTTCTCTATACATCAGGGGCCAGAGGGGAGGCGAGGCGCCTCTGGAGAGGTCATGCTTCTGCTTCAGCTCCTCTGGGCCCTTGGGGCTGCACAGCCACCACCTTTAACACGCCAGTTTTCTTACTAGAAATTTCTGATGCAGCAAGAAAAGGGATAAGAGGACTCATTACTCTTCAACCCTTTAGGAAATGAGATGCAAGCAATGACAAAACAGAGAATAGGCGGCTGCTGAAAGAGCATGAAGATAGATACCGGCAGAGGAGAGCATGAAACTGTTTGATTTTAAAGAGCAACGTAGGCAGAACAGACTGGATGCAGCTGAAAAATTTGTATTGTGACTCACATCTACAAATCTTGGCTGGCATCTTGCAGAGGACGTGGTAAGCTCTATGCTACTGAAACACACAGTCTTTTGAAAAGTTTGTGCCCCTCACGGTCAGGAGCGCCTGTAGTTCTTCTGTGCACTGCTCACTTCCAGGTACAATATTCAGCTCATGCCAATAAGCCTGCCAAAAATAGATGTGTGTCTCACACTGAGACAGAAGGAAGGGCAAAGACAGAGCCCCTTGGAATAAACATCTCTGGAGCAGGTGATAAATTTGACGCAGGTCTTGTCTAGAGGAGAGGGTTTTTTTCTTAACTGTATTTGGTTTCTTTGGAGTATGAGTCTGATTCCTGTGTCCACGCTGATTTGCACGGTAGGTGATTGAGAGGGTAAGTTTTGAGGAAGGGTAAATTACCTACAAGGAGAACGGATAGGGGGTAACTCTCAGTTCAGTGCTTTTTTAGGTGGATGATAATCTGGCATCCTGGGATGCGGTTTGGAAGTAGTTGGCCAAAGTGATTCTCTTTGCATGGTTGGAAATGCTACTGCAAAGCACTTCTAGGTTCACTGCCTTCACAGGCAGAGCCCCCACACTTGTTGGAAAATGAAGAAGAGGAAACTTGTGGCCTTTGCGAATAAAACCAGAAATTATGTTGCTTGGGGCACCTTCCTAGAAAACAAATGAAAGTTCATGAAGCTTGAAATTCCCTCCTGGGATGGGAGGGAATCTGTATCTAGGATATATAAGTTCAGATAGTTGTAGCAGTTACATACAGAAAGGCCTTGCACTGTGGTTATTTTTCACCTCTTCTGAAGTCAAAGACATGAATCAGCCCATGCTCTTACTCCAAAGTCCCAATGCTTTTGAAGTGACCTAACTGTCCCTCTGTCCTATCCCTACGTGTAGAAAAGGATGAACGCTCCCGTGCAAATGTTCCTGCCCTTAGACATGTCTGGTCCCAATGTTCATGTCCCAGCTTTGCTGCTGCCATGACCCCTCATACACTGCTGAGTTTACACTATCTGGGTATCTGTTACTATGCGAAATATCTGCCTTCTCCTGTCATGTTGCTATTCCCTGAATTTCAAGTATTTCAAGAATTTTGAGCCCTGTTGCCTTTTAGGTGGTGTTTTTTTTCCTTCCATGACTGGAAGAAGCCACAGAAGCACAGTCAGAGGCTCATTAGTTTTGATCTAACTCTGCTTAGCTGCCCTTGGAAGGACTGAAATAGTGGCCTGGAAGTATGGTAGATAGATGATGGCTCCTTCCAGTTAAAGAACAGTTTTTTCTGGATGTTTAAGTACCAAGAGTGGTACGAGGCCCTCACAGAAATATCCCATGTTCTGTACGTTTCTCCCCAGCCTGTGCAATAACCTCTGAGAAACTGTGTTTCCTTTTGAGGGGGTGAAGTGCTTTCCTCTCTGCCTGGCTTGCACTTGACTTAGCTTTGACCTTTCCATGGTTTCAGCACTCAACGAAGCACGAATCATCTTCTTATCAGAGGCCCTTTGCTGTTGGTTTCTCTCCATTCGCTTTGTTTGCTTCTGTGACCCACCCCATCATTTTATTTTTTCTCCACTGCATTATTTAAGTCAGGAAATAACCTGTTTCCCTGGAGGTGAGGATCCAGGTGATGCTGGACCACTTTGTACCCAAACATGCCCCACCACTGTGAGCTCAGTAGACAGCCGGGCTGCTTTGGTTCAGCTTTCAAAAGCAGACATAGCTGTAACCACTGAACATTTAGCCACTGAGCAAAAAAATGCACGCAAAGTTATAGTCTCCTTGAAACTCTCCTGCTAGCTGTTGCCCATGCTGTGTGCACACTCTGGGCAGGATAGCTTGCAAGTGACACCTTTGCGCAGTAGGAAACATCCCTCCGAGTTGTTGTTTTT